TTTCCTGGCACCCTGATTCAATTACCAGCAGTGCCGAAGGGGTTGTAAAAGCCACTTTAAAGATCCGTGGGAAGGACCCATCATAATTAATAATGTGTTAAATGTATGAAAGAATGAAAATCGTAAAATGCTTGAAAAAGTTAAGGAAAAAAATTGCTGAATAAACTACAGCGTTTATGATCAGTGTAAAGACGATAACATGGAAAATTTTTAGCGATAAGGAGAAGAAAGCGCAATATTAAGCTGCAATTTAATTTGAACTACACCTTATTAAAACCGTGCGTCACACTAAGGAAGTTTTCCAATTCCTCGTTAGAGCATTCTGTTGAAGTAAAGCTGCATTAAAAGTTTTCTTTTTCCGTTTAACTTCTGTACAAACATCCATCTCTAGTTCGCGTTCTAGGAAAATAATTAGTCAAATTACAAAAATGTTTGAGTTTGGCGTTACACGAATACTTGCTTGCACTTCCGCCTGCAAAACTTATTCAAACTGTGACTGTGAAAGTTATACTGTTGTTTCGAATAAAGAAGGCCCTTTAATTAATGTGCCTCAAACAGTTCGGGAGTTTTACCCATTTAAATTGAATCCTAATTATTGTACTATGAAGATTTTGATTTGTTTGGAACATTAAATCAAGAGTGTTTGTTGCCTGTGCTGATACCCGAAAAAATGTTAGTAGTTATAATATTTAATTATACCCGGGCAAAATTGCGACCGTCATTCAAATGCAAAGTCCTGCTTTCAGCAGTAATGCGGTAGCAAAGATGCGCATCAGGTCAGCACTCCGATAACCTCAGGCTTGTAAAATATATCATAACAAAATCCGCATTGCTTATCAAGATCCCCCAATTCAAGTTTTCATGTATATGGCACATAAACAGCAGGGCGTCCAATGGCCTTAGGAAAAAAAAACGGGGAGTTTATAAAGGTTGCTGAAATCCTGAAGGAATAAACAGTTGCGATGGATAAAAGCGACGGCGCATAGCTAGGTTTTCCCTGATCGATTTCGGAATGGTTTGGGGCCTTAGTTACGCAATTAGGCCGGAAATTGGCGGAAAATGCTACGTATATGCGGTTCATTAAAAAAAAAAACATATTGAGACGTTGATTAGGTCTAATCGTCGATAATCTAACCAATCCGACTCTCAAACAGCGAGTTTTGCTCTCAATCTTCGAAAGTCAATTCAATTCAAAGCTCAATGTGGTTTAGCTAACAATCGACAGTTTAACCAAATGGCCAGTAACTGATCAAAGCTTCGCATTAAAAAATGTAATCACATTCTAATGTTTTTTCATCAAGCGCACCATCTGAGAAAACGAGGAATCAACTAAAAAATACTTATTTTGTGGACATTTCGGAATACACAAGCAGCGTTTCATATGGCAGGAGACTTTATTAAGAATTACTTTCTTTTGGGCCTTTTCGCAAAGACGCAATCTCCTGTAATATAACATGAAAAATTCCCCTCGCTGCTGTTTTTTTTCAGTATATAATATGAGCCTGAGTTCTCCTTACTACGTTTCTTTGTTTAGCGTCTTTTATTAAAGTCAGACTCCTTTTTCCAGTTAGTTTTTCAAACTTTTAGGTAGTAGAAGAACTAGAACTTGCCAAATATACCAAAAGATTGAGAGATTCAATGCCTTCACTGAGGTTTTTTCTAAATTTATTAGTAAGCAATAAAAATTAAAATAGATTTCCATATATGTACATACACAGGCATTTGGAAAATTGTGCCACATACTTTAACATACTAAAACGGACACTTTTGCGGATGAAAGTATGAACTAGAAAATAGTTTTCGTAAAAAAATGTTCCAAAAAAAACAGTGGAATCCAATTTATCCTAGAGGGACGCTTTCAGACTCGGGAAAAAACTGAAGAAGCATTCCTAAAATGATGTTTGGTACAGAAAAGTGCGAAATTTAAGGCCCTATCCCGCAACTCAACCTGTTTTCCAAATATGAGCCAAAATTGCATTTTCAGCTAACACTAGAAATTCCTAGGTTAATGTTCTATCCCGCAAAATGCACCTAATCTTTGCAGCTCAACCGTTAGCTAAATATGCTCCAAATACTAAAAGCATTTCTCAACATCCGCATTAACTTCCATTTTTTGTGTTTTGCATAGAAACTAAAAAAAAATCTTTAAATGATGTTTGGTATGAAAACGTGCGCAACTTAAGGAAATATCCCGGAATCGCAAGGAAAAGCTTTTCAGCTCAACCGGTTCTCTAATTATGAGCCAAAAGTTAAGAAAGGTTTTCAATCAGCATTTTCTTCAAAAGTTAACAAATTTTTAAAAATATGTGTTAAAAAAGAGCGCATTTTAAAGCTCTATCTGCAAAGGGCAGCGGAAGCTTTGCAGCGCAACCGGTTCTGTAAATATGAGCCAAAGACTAAGAGCGGTTCTCAACATCCACAATCATTTAAAACTCATTTTGCATGAAAACTAAAAACATTTCTCAAATGATGTTTGGCATAGTGTTATACTTGTTTTTATGTCTGCTTACAATGTTCTACAGAGTGTTTTAAATAATGTGTTTTCGGACAAATAAATATTATTATTATAGAAAAATGAGCAAGTGAATGCAATATTCTGCAACGGCAGCTAAAGCTTTGCAGCTCAACCGGTTCTCTAAAAATGAGCCAAAGACTAAGAGCGTTTCTCAAGTCCGCATTAATTTTGAATTTATTTACAGCGGCTATTGCCATACCATCATTTCGTCTGCGTTCGTTTTTTTGTCAGTTTTGAGCAAAAGATAGTCAAATATAGCAAATCCCGAAGGAACCGTTTTCAAAAAAAGCACAGTTAAAACGTTAAAAGTTTAATATTTTAAAATGCGATCCGATTTTCCTATTCGAATCAATTTGTAAATCCAACTTAACAAATAACCCATGAATAAAAACTACTTTTGCCTCTTAAAAAAATTACCAGCTGATTTATTGCAATTTTTATCAATTGAATGCACTGTATATCAGATATCAAGCTGAAAAAAAAAGCTTTTAAGAATTTTTGATTGAGAGTATGACTTTCAATCAATATCGCAGTTCGCAGAYAGCCGTTTTAATAATATTTCTTAAAAATGTATGCCATAAGACACTTTCCTTMTAGCACTTTCTGAATTTGCCCCTTGAGGGTGTGACTGCATTAATAGCTTCAAAAACAAAAATGACCAAATAGAAGCAGGAATAAAATTAAAACTGGAAGCGGAAAAGACGGCAGTTGCACGTTCTTATTGCTACTTCCATGAGAAACATCCTGCGAAAAGCTGCTGGACTTTTAATCAGATATGAACTTGCAGGCTGTAGAGATGATAAACCATGTTTTTGCAAAAAAATGTATGTTAACCCGGGCAACGAGAAGTAATGTAAAAGCAAATAAAACCACACCAACAGACATTACATGGCTTTTATTGGTCCATTTCCTCTCTTTTATATTTTTCTTGTTTACAGCTAATGGTTTCCTAAAATAACCACCGTCCATTACAGAGTTTTTAACCAGTACGTTGAAATTCAAATAAACAGCACCCCTTTGGCGTTGTTTTGTCTAAGATGGGCTACGGTATTAAGGTGTGATATATGAGCCGCAAATACGTGTAAACATTAATATGCTGGATGTATGCATAGTCATAAATTAGTTGGAAGTCGGAATCCAGAAGTTCACTAAATACGTATTCGTTTTCCAATTAAAAGCGACTCAAATCCGTAAGATTTATGAAAACGCAGGAAATTGCCTGCGTCCAAAAGTGCCATATATTTCCAGGATTCGTGAAATATTACTTCAACCTTATTTACCTATATTCTTTCCATGCCATTTGGAAATCACCGATCTGGGTCATTGGAACGAAGGAAGGCTCTTGAAAGGCGCGAATGCGAAAAATAATTTATTTGCACCATCAAACATTTGCTTAGCATTAAGACGCTAAACATTGGCATGCATTTTAGGAGCTACGGGTATTAGAATTATCAATCAGAAGACCGAAAAACTGGAATGTTATATTAATAGGCACATTGTAGAACCATATAAAGGCCTGTAATTCCTATTCATTCATGTGGCTGTCATGCAGTGTTATAACACTCATTTTACAAACAGCAACTTACTAACGATGATTGATTGGCCCCTCTATTGTGTTACCGATAAATAAAGCAACTTCGACGAACTGACTGGATGTTATTTGCCGTTCGATATATTCCATCATCGCTTCATTATTGTGATTATGCAAAATTATCCAGTCAGTAGCACAACGGGCGACAGTCCAATATCGGAAAAGTGCAGAAATTAAAATTTTAAAAGTAAATTACTGAGACAGACAGGAAGTTCCAATAAAGTGCCTCCTTTGGGCAGCAGACGAGCAGCTGCTAAGATCGATAAGCCCAAATAAAACCCTTTTGTTTGAAAAAGGTAAGTCCTCGTTGAAATGGCCCTACAACTTTAAACCACTTTGGCCTTTAGAGAAGGAACGGCTTTTATACCTGGCTCGAAAGTACATTCAGCTTAGATCTAGCAGAGCAGAGTTTAAGAATGAAGAATGTAGAGAAAGAGCACAAAAAAACACTGAACGAATTATTTTTTCCTAAAAATTATGACTAGAATAAGAAGGGTGGACATGGAAGAAGTTCATAAAATAGCAACTGTAAATGGAATTAAATTACATCTGTTCCGTTTGCCCGGAGAAAAACATCGACACTCTGAATGAAACAGTATGAATCTCGTTTTCAATTAAACCACGAATCATGACGGACCACAATGCGAAGCGAGAAAAATTTGCAGACTATTAATGAATAAAGCCGGTGTTAATTGCAAGCAGACTATGATAAATGGAATTTGCAGATGCAACAACATTAAGTTACAAATCAGCCTATTTATCAAATTACGGAACAGCTTTGCGCACTTTACATTTTACTTTGCTGGAAGTAATCACATTTCACTGGCAATCCTAAAGTCCATGGTGTGATAATACTGCTGCTTATTAGTGTGCAATTAAAAACAGATTACTCACCTTTAAAGGCCGTCTAATCGTTACTGTTTCTATCGTGGTAGCCGTAGCCATATCTGGAAAAACAAATACCCGATTACGAATTGAATAAACTCTGCTTTGTTTTATATTTTCTTGCATTAATCAGACTTCGTTAACGTGATGAAGTGGCAATGTTTTACTTGGAGTTAACATTTTCTTGTGGCTATACAGGGGAACGCTTAATTAGGCAGGTGAATTTATGAGCTTCAACGGAATAAATTCTATCACCACTCACCAGCAATTTAGCATTATTTTTGATTTAATTTCAATTTAACTTATACATTGATCTGTCTTCTTGATCTTTGATAAATTTCAACCCTTACTGAACCTATTGTACTCTTTTTCTCCACATTGTACTTGCACGTTTTTTTTTAAGTCGAAGAGAAATGTGTGAAAGAAGCATACATTTTTAGTGCACCTAATTCGTCTTTGGTACTCGGAACAAAATCCGAGGAATTTTTATATTGAATGAAATGAATGAACCTGCTGTCGCAGACTACCTACGAGTTTCACCTTGAATCATTGGACTTAATACTTGGACTCTGGCACTAATCTTCAGATCAAATGAAGGCACTGATATGAAAAATCTAAAATTGCACAAAATCTTTAGTTTGAATGTAAACTGATGTTCAATTGCGCGAATTTACTATTTGTATTTTTTACATTAATTTTCACAGATTTACTTTGAATTTATTAAATATTTTAGCTAGTCAACTAGAGCCTAATGTTTCCTCATAGTGGTGTTTATTTTCTAGTTCTTTCCATTTAACTTTCGACTTTTGTCATTGTTCAAAAGCAAAAACATGAAACTCAATGTTGTTTGAAAAATGTAATGTTTAGAAAAAAGATCCGTATTACAATAATTAGTGTACTGTATTTGGTCCGCTCGAAACGAGCAAAAATAAATGTAAGGAAGACTGCTCGATTTGTTATTATTGAAGTGATAATTTGACTTGATAAATTAGAACTGAAGGCAAGCAGGAAGAAAAACCACTTAAAAGAGGTTATACATACAGTAAGTACCTATACAAAAAAGCAGTTAAGTTGTCATTTCATTAATAAAACTGTCGAATGTAAAAGACTTGTAGAATTGTATGTTTTGTGTGTTGTAGTTTCTTTTTCTTTGTTGATCCTGAGATAATTTTCTTCTTTACCCTGGACATTTTTGAATAGTTATTTTTTGTGCCTGTAGCGGTTTTGCACGTTTTTTATGTTCTACACCCTATCGAAGTCAATTGCTCATCTCATAAACATACAGTTTCATGGCTTTAATTTAAAAAAACTGATTTTGGATTTTCATGTTCTTGGCCTTTGATGTTTTATTTTGTTAATCGAGAGATCAACGACGAAGTTTTCTCAAAATCCCCATAAATTGAATACAATTTTAAGTAAAAAATGTAGCTTAATCATCCCGACTGGGATAAAATCGCTTTACTTTCAAAATAATCTCTTATATGGTCGATCTTCGTTAATTTTAAAGCTCTTAACAATGTGTACCTTAACAAAGTGTGCTCAAGGTCCAAAATCTTTATCGCTTGATAACTTAATGCCTATCTTCAAGAAGTTTACAATGGTTTCAGTTATCTGAATCTCTTTTGAGTGTCTCTTTAAAAGGAACCACCACAACTAATGGGAAAACCGACTAAATAATGAATAACTGTAGTTGCAAGATTAATACTTTTTTGAGTATTTATATGAGTGGATAATTATTCATGAAGAAATCTACTGGGTTTTAGTTCTTAGTTGAGGGTTTTCTTAATGTATTACTTTCTTTCAATGGTTATTCATTGTGCATATTATAAAAATTCCCTTCATACCTGTAGAAAATCTATGCATTTTTTTAAAAACATAGACCATCTGGTTTTATGTGGAATAGTATGAATAGTAGATAAAAGTAAGATAATACACGTGCTATAAGGGTTCATGTGCTTTTAGTGGGGCTATTTCTGAGGTTATTTTTCCAATATGTGCAGCTCAAGTAGGGTAATATATTAACAATAAAAACACTCTAAACTTGAGATTGGGAGACTTAGCTTGTACAATCTTGTGACCCATTTAAAGGAGAAGAATAGTCTCATCAGAGTGTTCTGGGCCTAAAATGACAAAATGGGGCAAACCAATTCACCTGCCTTTAATGGAAATGCGAACATTCAGTCATGAGATTACTCATGGCAAGTGATCAATTGAAATCCACAAAGCATGAATAATAAATAGAAATTAAACCACACAATAACTTATGTACTTTAATAAATTAAATTCGCTCTCACCTGTTAGATTTAGGGGAAATCCTTAATCTCCTCGAAAAACAGAGATTAGATTAGATAACCCGCCCGGTAAATAACTAGTCACCCTATCACATAAACAGTAAAATGCACATAAACAACGTCCAATGAAGGAAATATGGGACACAAACCATGAACCTTCCATGAACTACTTTAACAAAATGTCAACAATCCGACATTGAAAATCCTGATTTCATCTCTTGAGTGACGCACAATTTGGCCTCTCTGTCGTCAACACCTTGTGAAATCCAGCGGGAAAGAGACCGAATGATGTTGACCAGTGTCATCTTTGTGTAGTAATGGAAATGGTCAGTTTTAGTTGCGGGCAACCCAATATACCTAGACACTGTAATATTTTATAAATTTTTCATTTTTTTTAAATATTTATCTTGCTTTGCCACCCAAAAAGCTTCCTTTTGCTCAGGACCAAAAGAACGTTGTTTTATTTTGATTTCATTTTGCTTATGTATTGACTGAAGCTAATTATAAATAAATTATTTTAATATTTTTTTATTTTTATTGTGTATTTAATTTTTATGTTTATTTATGTTGGCAGATTAATGGTTTGTCTCCAATTTTAATCAGTATTGATTAATGCGCAGATTTCAGGTGGCTTTCAAATTATTTAATGGAGAATTGGTATTTTTTATTTTTAGATATCAATCAATTTCTTTAAGTCGGAATTAATTCTTGAATTATTCATTAGTGAATTCATCCATAAATAAAAAAAATTGATAAATCTTAGAGCGCCTTTGCACGTTTTTGTGCTTTCTGCAAAATGGCCATACCAGAGATGGTCTTCAGGCCTTTTTGTCTGCAATCGAAACAGACAACGCTACTGAACAGGCGTTTATGAACAAAAATATATTACAAAAACTAGCTATTTGTACATCGACAATCTAAATATGTACTATTTACAAAGAAGGCGATATTCTACAAAAATAAATACTTAAAAACTAGACAAATAAATACAATTCCGCAAAACTGATGCTTCGATGCAGCGCGCGAACTGGAAAAGAGGAAGCTGGATTGTTTGCGGCCTAAAAAGCAAAAAAAAAATTAAAAATCATTCACCGAAAACAAAATAGCGACTAACTTTTTTCATTAGGATCCCTTCCTCCGCATAGTTTGTATGAAATCTTCGACTTCCTCTTCTCCTTGATAAATCCGGGGATATACAGGGTGGGGCTTTCCAGACGGCCAATTGTGAGCAATCTGTTAAAATCCTGCTCCAACTTAGTAGCGATTGGCCCCTTAAAGTGCAACAGCAACTGAACGCAGGCGTTTGTATAAAGAGTTTTGGTTTTGCGAGTATCAACTGTGAGGAACCATTCAGGAATACCCATCACTTCGCGTACATCCTCGATAAATTGCGCTCTGAAAAAATAAAATTTCCGCATTTCGCAAAATGTATTCTCGATTTTCCAAAGGACTTACACGACAAATCTGGGTGGTTTTTCGATGTTCACATATTTAATAATATCATAGTCCGGCTCGATGTTGGCGCAGGCATATTTGTCGCTTCTTCTATCCGGGCTCAAAATCACTATGGATCGGCCAACTGCTGTAACATCGCCTTCCAAAGGAAAATTGGAATCAATGAACATTTTCCTCTGCAGCCCAATATCGATGGTTCCAAGTCTAGCTGATAAATCCCCCACGTAGCAACGAAGAGGATTTTCAGGCCCGCACTCTTGGCGATAAAGCTCTTCCTGAAAAAAAACTGGTAGGTCATCGAGGTGGCAATTTGAGAAAATTTCACTAACATTTAACGGATCCGCCAATTGGGTGTAGAAAGGATTCCACACATAACCGCCAGCCACACATCTTGTTGCTTGGGTTTTTACAGCTGCATCCACTCCTACAGGATTGACAAAAATGGCCCAGTTATGATCCCTAGTCTGCAGAAATAACAGTTTATTACATATTTATGGCCTACATGATAAAATGGCCGTAACATTTTGTAAAACTAGAGAATTTCAAATCGAGTCAGTGTTTATTTAAGGACGCTGTTGAAACAGCTCGTTTATTTTCAGCCAACTTACAATATTGCGGTCATTTTTGCCTGGATGTCTTAGCTTCACCTCTATGGTGGTATCGCTGCTGCTTCCATCGCTGTAGATTAGCTGTTTCTAAAATCACCACGGAATTAATGCCATTTTTCAAGCCGGAATTTGCGGAAAAACATACCATTTTCAGATACCCATATGCATATCCCAAAGGATGATGAAAAGAGGCAATAGCGCGAATTTCACGCGCTTCAGAAGGGCTGTAGCCGCGCTCTATGGTAGAACAGACCCATCGTTTGTTGCCCGCCTAATGAATAAATGACCAAAAACAACAGTGTTTTAGCAGCAAATTGGGATAAATTGAGTTCTTACCTTCTTATGGATAATGATGGATCGGCCCAAAATGCTTCTTGGGCCAAAAATCGGCAACATAGTGTCATTGTAGAAGCTTTTGTAAATGGTGGCATTTTCCAGATTCCCAAACTTCCCACTCAAATCGCCCATTTCGTACTGATCGGGAGTACCATGGTACCGGGTGGGAGAGGAGGTGGGATCCACATTCAATGGGTTCCAATGGCCGTAAAGAGTTGTGGCTTCGCAAGGAAATTGAAGGTATTCTTCCACTGGAGTCTGAGCAGAATATTTCAGTTAGTATTTGGAAACAATTTGAAACTGAGGTCATTGGGTGAACAAAAACTGTTTTAATTCAGTGCGAAAATCGCCAATTAAACCAACGTCGTTATTTGCTAGAATTTTTTGGTACTTACAATGTGAACATGGTAGCCGCTGGCTCCTTCAAGCCCTTCAAAGCTAACTTCCACGTTTGTAATGTCGTATTCGGTTTGCTGAAGAAACTCGATTTTTCCTTTCATAGTCAACTCTCCACCATTAGGAAACCAATCTTTTGCTACGACTTTTCGTCGATACACACCACCAATTCTATTGAGCAATATCATTTTCACTTCAACGAATCAATGAAGGAAAAAGTTCACAAATAATTTAAAAAAAAATTGAATGTTCAAAAAATTAAGAGAAGTTTTTCAACTTTATTAACAAGTGAAAGTGAAGATAGTTCTAAATTGTGAAGACTTAACACCATCAGGAATTAAAGTAATGTCTTCTCCAAAAGTTGATATTTTCGGAAAAACAGCGAGTTAAAAGTTGAAATTTTAGTTTGTTCCTAACTTTTTATGTTCAAAATATCTAAAGTTTGGATAACTCTTAATATTTCCACGGTGATCAGGAAAAGAGCCCGGATTTCTAGGCATTATGCCTTTTGTAGATAATAAATACGCTTTTCTTAACTAAGTTGAACGAAATGAATGAAACAAGAACAGGCCATCTGGAAAAAAAATTAATTGATTTTTTGTGCTTATTTCAATATTTTGCACTTATTTACGGCTTTTTTTTAAATTTATGTTTTAAGACAAAGACCAACACCGTAAGGAAAACCTTGCACCTAAATGCACAGTTTAGAAAAATATGCATAAACATCAACGCACCGAATATAATTGATAAAATCGTTGCCGTTCTAGGTTTCGATAAAAAAAATTTTTACGTACAAATTGCAACCTCTATTCGCATTCTAAAAAAACCCTCACAGCACAGAATTTGAAGCTCCTAACCCAGATTTGTTCAGAACCAAAGCAAAAAAGGAATAAAAATTACGACTTTGCAGTTTCAAGTTTCTGGATTCAAGTATCTCCAGTTTCTAGATTTGCCAGTTCAAAACTCACCGCGAACAAGCTAGTCTTTCCCCTCTGGCCTGCGGACCATGGTCATCATAGAGCACAAAACTTTTCCCTAAAATGCTGTGAGGTCCTGTTAAAGGTAGACGGGTGTCTGTCCAAAGCCTCCTAGAAATTCGGTCACTGTTGGCAATTTTTCCAGAAATCTGGAGCGTCCCTTGGCGCTTTGATAAATCGCCCACTCTGCAAAGTCCAATCGCCTCTTGGCTGCATTGCTCTACACTTGAAGTGTTATCGTAGTCAATCTGTGGATTTCGAGTGGGTTGATGGAGTTAGTTCAAAAAAATTGAAAATAAATACCTTGAAGGGATTGTAAACATTCCCAGCGCTGATGCATCGATTTTGCCAGTCGTAGAAGTCTTTTCCCGGTGGGGTTTCATGGATAGCCCATCGATGGTCGGCGGAATTGTTCAGCTGAGCCCCATCTGCATGGACCAGATATTCCAGCATTACGGTTGTGTCCATCCAAGGCGCGTCTTTCACCTGAAAATCCCCCATTTAGCCTTTAAAAGCCTCAAATTCCCCCACACACTTCTCTGTACCTGTCTCATGAGCATTCTGCCTACTGTGGGGTAACGGAAAACCACTTCAGCAGTGAACATTTGCGTTTGGTATTCGAAGTTTGATTCATATAAACTGATGGCTCCGCATATCCATGGTTCTGCCACCACTTCAGATGTTGGGTATTGAGTGTTTCTACAACCCAAAAATTCCTAAGTCAGTTTCATCCTCACACTGCTGGTAGGGCAACTTACTTATAAATGACCAAAGAGCGATGCACTATCGAGTGCACACCTTGGAGGGGCAGATAAACATCCCAGAAGGTTCCATTTAGCTCTTGGCTTCCAGGGATGACTACTGAGGCATTGTTTCGGTTTAGAAGTTTGCCAGACAAATCGCCAATGGGATACTGATCCTGAGTGCCCAGTCCTTCGCAAATTATCTTATTTTATTACTTTTCCAAAAAGAAGAAGTACATCAGCAACTTACCATTGGGTGGAATAGAAGCTACGTCTGTATTTCTGGGATTGTAAACGAACTTGGTAGTTAAACACGAGTTCTCGTTCTGGCCGACAGTTTTTGCAGGCTTGATGGGCAATTCATGGATTTTGTATCTGGAAAAGCTCCAAATGGTTCAACCAGAACAAAAACTAAGAGGAGTCTTTACCCTGCAACAGTTGAACCAAACACTATTCGGGTTTCCAAGTCCCCTCGGGCTGTGCTGAGGTTGAAGTTCAGAAAGGTGGCCTCAAACCGGTTGTTCTGAGTCAGTTTGATGTCGCCCTTGATGCCTCCTGATTGAATGACTATCCTGCATAGGAAATTCGTTTGTTAGATTAAACAAACAGTTTCAACTAATTTAGCTCTGACCTCGAAGTTACAGGGTGCTCATATCTAATCTTGGCGCAAGCCAAGAAAACGTCCTCATGCTTCTTCTCGAAAATCACCACGTATAGCCTTCTTTGGGGTCCATTTAAGTCACTGGGTAGCAAAATTAACTCATTATCCTGATACAAAGTCTTGTACTTGTTTCGATTGTAGTTGGTTGACACCTTCACTTTTCCTAGTCTTTTGTTCACATCTCCCAAGGCATGGCCTTCACCTCTATTTTCGGGATCAAAAACCAACTGCAGAATGTTGCAGTTTTCTTCTGATCGGTCTGAGTCGTCGAAGATGTCGGTTACATAGATTTTCCACGAATGCTCGGTGAAATCCAGATACTTTCCATACACTTCCCTTTTTTGCGAATGGTATAAATCAGTCGTGATCAGCATGTCGCTGTGGTTGTCTTTGGTGTAAAACCATCTGAAGTAAACATTGCCGGCTATTGGCGAGTTTAATCTGGCTACAGCGATTTTTTCCTGAGTTTTGTCCAACATTGTTATTGAGGCGCATACCTAAAGGTACAAAGCAAATAAAGCCTCCAGCGCAAAAATTGGGTCGTGTTTTTACCTTTCTTCCTGTGTCAACTTCATCCAGGAGAATGGTCTTTCCATACAGGCCGCTCTTCCCATTCACTGTTAGATCAGAGCTAGTAAATGTACTTGATTGGTTGTCCGGTATAATCAAATAACCGAACAGTTCATCAAGGTTGATTAGGTTTTTCCCAATTTTTTCTCGATCGCATCTTGAAGTACGAGAAAGAAAGTGAATGTTACGGAAAATTGCTCATTGGATTTTCTAAGTACCTATTTTCAATGCGAGTGTAATCGACTGGGAATTCAGTTATATACCAGGACCAGGCGGAGTTTGGAAACTCCAAAGTCGCTTCCAGATTGGTGGTGATGATTATTTCATCACCATTTTTAGTGAAAGTGATTGTTCCATGAAGTCCATGTTCGGAAACGTAACTTCTAAGTACAATTGAGGTAGATTGATGAATGTCTGAAATGTTCAAGGCATGCTTAATCAGAAATGGATTATGATTAAAACTGGAACGTAAAGTTATGTGCTTGTTATAAGTAGGGACTTGTATATTAAACAATTTGCTGGATTTTATTTTTTCACTTTACAAATCCTTAGTCAATAGTAAAATCATTATTTTACCGTTGTTAATAGCACGTTAAAACATTGCCTGTGATCCCGGCCAAACCCTTTAGTTTCCGCGCTGTTTTTCAATAACTAAATTTTAATTTTTAATTGTTTTAAAATCAGCATTCATATTAGTATACTTTTTGCGAAATTGAATAAATCATCTGTTTGTTAAAAATGTTAAACAAAAAATTATATTTTGCTAAATATTTTGTGATGGCCAAATAATTTAAAGTTCGGTCTGTTTTCTCCAAATTTGAAAATTTAAAGAAATTCTTTTTTGCTAAACATTTGCATTTTTATTGTTTATTGATATTTATTGTTTATTGTATTATTGGAGTTACTCCTAAAAATACATTTTGGGGTTTGAACAATATTTGAATATATTGAATTTGCACATTTGCGATTTTCAAAAAAATTAAAACTTTCCAAATATTAAAACAATATTATTGCTAAAAATTATTGCAGTTTTTTTGAACCATTGAGTTGCTCCCAAAAATGCATTTTGGTGTTTAAATAGAGCGTTTTTCCAGGAATATCCAGCTCTTCAGGTCTTTGAAAATTTAAACTCTTGGGCCCTGATCTTTGGCCCCGAAACAACTTTTTAACTTTTTGCGTCAAGTCTGGACTTTTAAAGAGTTTTTGAATTCCCACAAAAGTTGATAACTGACCGACTTACAAGGTAAAGAGTGGAAGTATGTGCAAGTTTCAGAGTTTTTCACTTGCCAATATTCAGAGGCCCTTTCCTTCCAAACCGTTACAAACACAAATTTTCTTAGACAGTGAATGTGTCGGGAATACTCTTTGCAAACAATCTGATGTGCTATTTTGAAAATGAGTTAATCGAAGTAAAAATTCAAAGTGTTTTGGTCAACAAATCGTCATTCTGGCTTTCAAATTATCTTAACTTTCAAGTTTTTCAACCGATTGCAATATTCCGAGATGCAGTTTTTATACAAATTCGTACGTTTTTTCAACAAATTGCATCAACTCCAAATCGGCCCGATAGATATTAACAGAGTTATGCAGAAAATTTCTAAATACAAAAAACATTGATAATATTTGTCTGGAAAAATTGTTTTTGCAACCTTGAAACTCTTATAACTTTCAAGTTTCTCAACCGATGTCGATTTTGAAAAATACGATTTTTAGACAATGATCAAAATGATTCAATGATCGAAATCGGGCGCGCATTAAGAGAACAATTACTCATTTATTCACACTGAAAGATCTGATGCATATAATGATAATTATTAATTTTTAACAGCTAAATATTCATAAATATGCGTGTAATTCGCGTTGCTGTTTGCGATCATACAAAGTATTAATTTTCTTAAATTATCTATGAAATTAGAAAAATTATTATGAATCGACTAAACAGTCTTAAAGGCTTAAAGATTGAGAAATTTAGCCTTAGACGGATAACTTTTAAAAAACTTTGCATATATGGACAATTTCTAAAGTCGCAGTCTAATAGAACGAAATTTGTAGTTTTGACCGTGTACATTTTAAGTTTGCATCTGCTTTAGCGGTGGAGAAATTGATTGGTTTTAAGGTGCCTACAGAATGAAAAGTTGAGCTTCAGACTCTTCTTTCGAACGGAAATTTTCGAATAACTCTATATATGAACAAGGTTTAAAGTAACAAATTAGTAGGAAGGAGTTTCGAGTTTTCACGGCCAAAAATTTCAAATTTTCCCAGTGTACACACTGGAAAGTTGAGCTTTCGACCCTTCTTTCAACAGGCGATTTGTTTTCAATTGCCTTTAGATGTACAAAATTTAAAGCGGTGTAACCTGAGGAATGCATTCACTTTATGAAGTTGATTTAAAGTTACTTCATAGGTTACGAAATCGAATTAAAAAAATTCGTGGCATGGATGTTTTCATTTTCAATAATAAATTAATCGTGTTTGGTAGAACCTGGCCTAAGTCTTCAAAGTAATTAATCCGAGGTTTACGAACGAACTTTCGCTGATTAAAACACTCTACATGAAAACGTTATGAAGCAAAGTGGATCAACTATAGAGAAAAATAATAAAATTAATTAATTAATTTGATTAATTAACGAAAACAAAAAAAGAAAAACTAAAAGCGACTATTTGGATAAATCCATATTAATAAATTTGAATCCTCATCCACATATATTGCAAAAAAATTGCAGTCCAACACTGATTATTGGAAAATAACAATATTTTGTCAAATTAACGATAGCCCGATGCAGTCAAACGTGTGAATGAGTGAATATAAAGAGCCACGCTAAAATCCGTTTGAAAATGATGTTTTATGCTCATTATAAATAATATTTTAAGTTTTGCCAGTAGCCTAAATAAGTATATGAATATGTGCCTCTTTAATTGTTAAATAATGTTGTAGTTTTATTAAAGGTTACAAGGCGTTTTAGTCCAAAATACAACATACAATTCAGAAACTACTCAAATCTTGGAAATTATCTGTCTTCTTAATTACGGTTGATTAGAACAAGCTTTGAAAAAATGCACTAAAGTAAATAGAATTAACATAGGTACTCTATGGAAAATAGAACAAAAAATTAAGTTGGTCAAACACTGAAAAATCAGGCTGGCCAAAATACACATCAAGCAACAAATGACTGCAAAGTTAAACGCGGAACCTAAACGTTTTACCTAATAATTGCTATTACCGCATAATAAATTTCTAAATAATAATTGAGACCAAAACAAGAACATTTGACCTTGCCTAAACAATTTCATTTGTCGACTTTCGATACCAGTATTGCAACTTACCTAAGACGAAAATTGAGCAAATGAAAAAAACACAGTTAACCCACTGCATTTTGAGTTTCCTTCTAATTAATTTTAATAGTTATCAAACACAAATTGATCACTTTAATCACATTTTGGGAAAGTTCTTGTCTTCGGCACGCACAACGCGTTTTTACTTTCGTGCTCAGCGAACGCTAGTTAACGACAACAAGCGAAACCGTTCTTTTGGCGAGTTATTTCTCATGGCTATACACGCTGTATAGAAAGTGGGAACCCACGAAGAACGAAGAGTTTTTGCCTGAGATTGTTTTATATCTCCTTTAACCCAAAGATAAATGTTCGAAAATATTAATTAAAATTAAACGAGCACTTCATAGCCAAAAGTGCGCAAGCAAAATGCCATGGATGGGCTCAGTTCAAAAGATGTTAAATTGGGCAGAACCATCAGAAGATTTATTTGTACCCTTTTAAACTTTAAAAAAATTGGTCAACCTTTATCATAGATCGATCCTCATGCATTTAGCACTGTTTTTTAGAATATTGTCTGCATGAAAAGTGCTCTTTGGGGAAAAAATACGGTAAAACCTACAAGAACCAGAACTTGCAAAAATTACTTCTAAAGCCCAACGGTTTTTACCTGATGGCGCGGTGAGTCAATGAAAATGCCTCGCCCTACCTGTCCATTAGTAGACTTCACAATATCTTCTGTGATCAGTAGTGGATTTATAAAAAAATCCAGCAGCTGCAATAAATTAGATTTTTCTTTCAATTGATTGTCCGAAATGAGGCCAACATTGGTCAAAATGAGCAAACATGAAAACTCTTCAGGGCACCAAAAGATCTCCTCGATCAAAAAAATATTTTTGAGCGATTTAAGCATTGCAATCCCGCTTGGGAACATTCAAACTCAGGACCCAGCCCAGCCCTGCTCATAAAAGGTCGTCTTTCCGATACCAGCCTACCTGTAGGTAATAATTTTCCAAATATTTTGTTAGACTTATGTTGTATTTAAAGATTTCGGGGCCCCCCATTCTTCATACGTGCTTTGTGATTATCCACAAACCGGAAAAATTCGGCCGAAGAATGTTAGAAGCTTGAATGCCGCTGCTCTTAAGTGTGAGAAATATTTCTTGGAAACATGAAGAAACGTTTTAAAGACACGCTTGATTGTGGGAAAATAAAAAGTGACCTGCGGTTGATATAGTTTTGCATTAGACAACATGCAGTTTATGTAATTGCAATTTTTATCGAAATTGTGTGAATTGTATCATTTTATGTTTGTTTATTAATCACTTCACAAATTTCTGTTTTTCTGATTCAACTAGAATTATTGTTTTGGGTTTTAGGTAGTTGTTCAGTGTCGGTAACTATGGCTAGTTTTCCCATGTGGTTCAGAAGTCGTTTCGAAAATGTGTTGATTTTTTTAATAAATAAATTAGAAACAGGGAAATGATTGGAAGAACGAAACATGCAAATCCTTGAAACATTGACTGATGAGCGCAAAAAAAATTACAATATTAAATCTTATAATTATCTGTATAAATCTGTTGCTATTCTTTTGAAACAAGTGAAATCATTGTGCATCAAAACGTCTAAAAAATCGCGGTGGAAACGGCTTTAAACGCTTTAGATCCGAAATAATCGAAATTTTTTACGCAATGTCTTGAACATTGACGAACTTCTTAGACCGAAACTGAAGCTCAAAAACACATTTGAAAAATTCAGACTTTTGGTCGGAATCGTACGCATTTGATTCATTTTAAGAGGTTTTAAGATCACTTTATTGAGTTAAAAAACACAGATGTAGATTATTATCATTATCATCAGATTTGTGCTTTGTTTAGAAGTTAGAAGAGGAATTTTTAGTTGTTTTGAAAAAAAAATACAAAAGTATAAATATTGATAAAAATTTACATTTTTTCTTATTAAAATTATATGATTTATGTAACAAAATATAAATATTTTTAGCACTTTTTTCGATTAAATCTCAAAAATCATATCAATAAATTGATAAATAACAACATAAAAATCTAATTTAGAAAAAAAAATAAAAAAATTGAAAAAAAAAACTGTCTAAAACTTCGGCGTTTCTTTCTAGAAAGCTAATGGCTTGCAGATGTTTAATTCATAAATGTCTGACAATGCTGAGTCTCATAGGCAAATGCAGGAGTTCAATAGATTTTAAAGACAATTTGCCAAATAAAATATTTCTCAATACTTGTACACCAGTAGGGATATTACCACAGCTTAAATATCATGATATATAAGCTGTGATATTACGTTGGCCGACTACATCTAAAAAATTATAAATTTTTTGCTCAATTTCTTGAAAACCTGCACACAAAACTTCTGATTTCCTATTTGCTGGCATGGTTTCATCATCGGTAAATTTGCAGCAAATTGAATTCCATTTTCGCGCAAATTATCGCTAATAATAACCAGCATCGAGTCGAGCAAAGTGCAAAGTTCTAATTTTAAATGCAGTACCATCCAGTACGAACGAATACCTGATTGGGTACTTAATGACGCAGTATTTCACTTATTTGTAGTGTTATCTATGTGTTTAATAATAAAGTATTTCCCTTATCAGTGAGATAAACTTAGGTGTTTAGTGTTTTGGTGGAGTAAACTGCATTTAACTCTTTCACGCCCCAAAATGCCGGTGAAAATTAATTGGCCAGCAGTAGGAGCGGTATTGTTACCTAATGTGGGTGGAATTACAGGTGAAGTTTCCAAATGCTGTGTTTCATTAATGAAAAAAACAGAAAATCTGATCGTTTTGGTGTCCAACTTAGGTGGATTAATAACATCAAAGGCCCTCCCTTGGTACGAAACTTTGAACAAACCAAAATGTAGGCCTCCAAATTGGGCTTTTGGTCCAGTGTGGACCAGTTTATACTGTGGCATGGGGTATGCTTCATATCTGGTATACAGAGACGGTGGTAATTTTGAAGGTAAATCCAGCAATTAGTGCAAAATGTTGCCTCCTAAATGATCCTGCGTAAATACATTTGTCTGCAGGAGCCGCTAAAATTCCCCTCATGGTTTATGGAGGCAATTTGCTTCTGAATTGGGGCTGGACTCCAATTTTCTTTGGAGCCAAAAGACCTGATCTGGTAATAAAATATAAAACTAAAAAAATGCTTTATACTATTAAACAATCAGTCGCGCCCATTTCTAGGAAATATTGTTTCTTATGAAAAATTACTAGCTATTAGAAATGCTCTAAATAAAAGTCCCTGATAAAGTTTATATACACAAGGTGAATAGCTGATCGGTGATCGACAAATCTCTTGAATTTGGGCATTTTCCTGCAATATATGCATGTTAAACCCAATAAAAGTGTTTCCGCTGTATATCAGTAGATAAAAGATATTTCGACCCACAACCTTGGATTTGGACGCCTTGAAATTGTGCTTTTCTCAAATTTGGCAAAGGAAAATCTTGATGTTTGTTTAAATTTTTTAGGCATTGATAGAAATCAATCTATTAAACGCGGCAGCTCTGGCCACCGGCTACCTTTTCTATAAAGTGAATCCTACAGCAGGGTATTTAATTGTGCCATATTGCTTGTGGTTGGGCGTGGCTACAGCTTTAAACTTCGTCATTTGGAGAGATAACAGAGAGATCAAAGAATCCCCCAAAATCGAAACAGTCAAGTCGGAATAGTGTCTGTTTTTCCAATAATTTGTTCGCATTAAGTAGTATAATAATATAGTTTTGGTATAAATTTTGCTTTAAGTATAATTTTAAGATTCCAGTGATCGGAACCAATAAAAAAATTGTAATCATCGTGCGTTTCAGTTACACCTGGTGAACAACGTTGTGCTAGAAAAGGACTGAAAATATAGATAACAAACTGCAACTATTAATAGGTGAACAGGAATTTAATATCAAGAAAACTTGAGTGCTTTATGAGACGAAAATACGACAAGTTCAACAGTATTCTCTAAAAAAATAATTAGGTTTGGCCACAATTTTCGGACACCCTGTATCCTTGTTGCATTCGCCAAAAGCGTCGCCGTAATGTAGGCAGCCCAATATACACGCGTATCACAAACTCACGTACGTTTGGATTTTGTCCTTCCGTAGCCATTTGCAAGTTTTACACATTTACATTGATCAGGCTTCACCACCAAAACCAGTAATGAGTACTAATTAGCTGATATTTGATTTAATTAAATAATCATTTAATAACTTTCAAAATTGGCGGCAATCGGCGCAAGCGCCGTCTATGTCCAAGGAAGTCGACCATTTTCTTTCTTGTCATACCGGGCAACAGCACGTGTGGTTTGTATAGAAAAAAGATCTATAGCCAGCAAGTTCGCTTAGTCATTGTTCTAAACGTTAACAATTTACGAATAACCTTATCACCCGTCGATTGAACCAGTCCGTAGCCCTACAAGCAACATGAACACCGATAAATTGAAGAAATTGCAGTCCCAAGTGAGGATTGGAGGTAAAGGAACACCCAGGCGAAAGAAGAAGGTTGTCCACTCGACCCAAGCTACAGATGACAAAAAACTGCAGTCGTCATTGAAAAAACTCTCAGTAAACACCATCCCCGGCATCGAGGAGGTAAAAACAAAACTTTCCCTTTTTAACCTGCACATTATTTTTTTGGCGTAACCTAATAGGGGTCAGGTTTCCTTTGTATAATTACTGAGCCATTCATTGCTACCTTTCATGCATATTTGGAAGAGAAGGCTTTTAAACACCGTGGACTTCCTAGTCTTTATGAAAGTCTGCTGGTATAAATAGCTTTTGAGTAATTGCCTTTGATGTACCGGGAAATGTAGCTTCAAAGGAACCGCAGCAACACTATCGAGATAAGCGCAAACTGTTTCGACGGCTGTTTCTGTAAGACGGCTTAATCTTGGTCATCCACATTTTTTTCACTGCTAATTAGTCCCTTTTGTCTTCTACACTTCACTCAGTCCATTTTCTCTCCTTCAATACACCTGATAATTTAGTTCTATTTATCTGTTTAATAACTCAAATGAACCTCAAAAACCGAGGTTTAAAGGGGTTTAGACCTTTTTGGTCTACCTGCTTACATGGACAAAAGACTGAAATGTAAATGAAGCAAACAGTTAATTGGAAAACACTGAAAGTTGAGATGAAAACTTGAGCAAAACGGTCAACACTCTCTTTAAGTGTGAGACAAACCTTATCTATGTGTTTAGTTGAATTTTGTTTTGACGAAGCCATTATCAACCTGGATTGTTTCTGAAGAATCTGGTGTTGAAGACGCTTTTTTAAATTGAAACGTCCGGGTAAAAGACGCATTACGTGGTATTTTTTTCTTGGTTTGTTTGGTATTTTAATAACAAACAAATGTTCCATTTAAAAAATCTGTAATTATCAATTAAAATTGGAAGGAAATTTGTAACAAAGCTTTCAATGTGCCAACTTATTAATCTTTTAAGAAACTTTATCACTTCTTTCCAAGAATTCAATGCTTTTACCTTAAAATTATCCATTATATCTGATGTAATAATCATAATTTCTCTACAATGAAAGCCCCGTGAAATATGAAATAAATTGGTTACTACTACGGTTTTGAAAATAATTGAATATTTGTTTTTATTTGGCACCACTTTTCGAAATTTGTACCGTGTTTAAATAAAAAGTTTTTAAATTTGACAACGCTTTGGCGGACGTCGCCTGTTGGGAATTTGAGCCTAACGTTTCGCTAGCACGCATGGCTGGCGTCTTCAGAGGAGTGTTAGCTTCAAGTACTTACACTGGACCGATGAAACCAACACTTGAAAGTCTCTCGATTTGTAAAAAAACCAACTATATTTTGAACATCTGAGGCAAAGAAAAACATCAAGCCTAAACACCTTCAAATAAAAATTACTCTGAGCATTGAGACTATGGTTTATATTAAAAAGTTAACCCTGCTGATGAGAGCCAATAGGCTCGAAACCGGTCCAGGGGGTGTCTAGATGAGCACGTTTAAAGATTTGGACTTACTTCAGTCATTTCACTGTTTAAAACCGAGGAAAATAGCTCTTGAAAAATTATACGAGCAATCATGATTTCCTCAGAACACAACTGTTTGTTACCGACAAGAAGTGTTACATAAAATAATTTTCCAGGTTAACATGATTAAAGACGATGGCACGGTTATTCACTTCAATAACCCAAAAACCCAAGCATCCTTAGCCGCAAACACATTTGCCATAACTGGACATGGCGAGAACAAACAAATTACCGAGATGCTCCCCGGTATTTTGAATCAGTTGGGCCCCGAAGGCATTTCTCAATTGAAACGTTTGGCAAGTTCTGTTGCTAATGCGGGAGGTGTGAGTAAAATTGTACCAGAGGATGAGGAGGATGTTCCCGATTTAGTGGAAAACTTTGACGAGGCGAGTAAGGCTGAGGTTGCAAAGAAAGAAGAACCTAAATCTGAGGAAAAGCCAAACGACACTGCTTAAGTTCCCACACCTACAAGTTAACGCACTGCGGATAATCCCATAGCTGTTTGGTTAACTTGCAACAATGGTATCCTTAATTCTAGTTATCATAAGATTGAAATTCAACGGAATACTTGGCATCAGTTCAGTGGGGTCAAATTTGTAGATTTAAAATCCAATGAATCTCAATCTTGTACTAACTGACTTTACTGATACCCGTTTTTAGTGTAAGAGTTTGGAGGACTTCCGAACCAAACAATCTGTTTGCGGAAACAAATTGATCATTCGTTTTACTTATCTAATAATAACATTTTGTTAATCGGAATTTAAACAGACTTTTCTGAATACATATATAATTACATAATAATATTGTTGTTTTTCTTCCACCAGAAAGATTGGGAATATTTCAAACGTTTCTCCACTCTTGTTTTTTTCTGTTTATAGCTTTTATTCTGGCTCTTTGTTCGCGTTGTAGCAATGTTTGGAGATTTCGAATGATCTGCGTCTTTGCAGGTGGCTCTGGGATAAACGTAAGTTCTTCTTCCTTTTCTAAGACACTGTCTGGATCTTCAATGTTTGCGTCGAAAGTGTACGGGTTCTGAAACACGTTAAACATTTCAAAAATTGAATCGGAAATTTTTGAAAGTTCGGACCAAGTCATTTTGAACCAGCTGGATATCCACGCTAGGAACTTGGTAGTTTTCAGCGCAAAACTGATCAAACTCGCTCTCGGCGCTTTTGATGATATTTTGTCGATTGTCCAGATAAGCCTTCAAAGCTTCCTGCGCTGTTAAAGTAATCTCCTGCTGATCCACCAGCATTTCGCGCGTTTCATCCAGCCTTTCCTTGCATTCCTTTTCTGCATAGGATAAGACCAACAGACCCTGTTCATCAAATTCATCCTTGCTGTTGAATTTTCTGTATGTTTGCGCCTGTAAGCAATGGTAATGTTTTGAGAGAAATCCTTGTATGATACTACGTGGAAAAATGTATTAATTACCAGCAGTAAGTCGTTGATGTGTTTATCATTGTCATCTTTGATTTTTTGCAGTTTTTTAATCTCGTGCACATAACTGGAAAAGTGGCTCTTTATCTCTTGTTCGTTTTGCTTGTATTCTTCAACTCTCTCTTTGTAATGGCTGGACGAAGCAAATCGTCTCCACATATCCTGTTTTTCAGGAATCATCTCGGGAATGGGCATTTGAACATCCAGGCTTTTAACGCTGCTCTTTGAATCGCGTTTTTCGACGGAAGTATTACTGGATTTTTTTCGGTTGGTTGCCTTATTCATGCCGCTGGTGGACGATTTTGTTACAGATTTTTTGCGTTTTTGGGAGGAAGCAATTGATAACTCCCCAGCTGGAATTTTTTTTAATGAAGGATTGTAATTTCTGTTGCGGTTTAGTACTACTTTCATTGAGCTTCTGTTTTTCTGCAATGTTACTGCCGCTCTGTTTATTTTCTTTTGTAATACTCTCCTTGGATCGGGCCTTTGAAGATCTGCGCGACAGTTTACCAATCTATAATTTTATAAACGTTTTATCAACAAACACAAACTTTCGCACTTCAATACCGTGCTATGCGAAGAGCTTTTGGAGCTTTTTTGCTTCAAAGTAACTTCGCTCTGCTGATGGGCTACCAATCCTTGATTTTCAATTTGAAGAGCCTTTATTTCATTTTCAAGGCCTTTACAAAGGGTTCTGATGTTTTCCAGAACAAGGCCAGCATCCGCTACGTTCATAAGAGGAATTTCCTGTACATTCCCAGCCAGGTAGTCTTGAATTAAATTGTGCAGATGCTTTATTCGCTCGGGATTCATCCCAGTGACCAAATCGCGGTTGAGCAGCACAGAGTTCAAATGCTGATCTTTTTCAATAGATTGCAATTTATTCTAAAAAAATGAAGTTATACATCGAAAAACCAAAAAACTTGTTTTTACCCTGAGGTATTGCAGTTCCACTTCCTCATTGAGTTCGAATTGCATTACTTTTCGCTTCATTTTGAGGCCTTTGAGGATATTTCCGAATCTTAACATCGACAGCGTTATTAGAAGGTCTTCATTCTTCGCCTTGATATGGCCTATGAATCTAGCGAAACAAATCTCCAGAGGTTGTGGAGAATGCAGCTTTGGCTTACCTGAGGATACTCTCTGAGGCAAAATCCCCATTCAAATAATAAATTAGTGAGTTGATCCGTTGCTTTACTCGGATGTTTTTCGATATGTTCGTAGAAAGACACAGAATGAACTGTTCCAATTGCGATTTGGTTACATTTGCCAGCCCGATTTCTTTGGGGTTTTTGCAGAATAGTTTCATGTTTCCACATGTATCGTTCCCGGCCATGTCAATTATATGCAGCTTGAAAGAGCAGGAATTAAGCAGTGAATATTGTAGAATTTCTGCTTACCCTCGAGCAAATTTTCACTGGGTTAGTTAGATCCATATCTTTCTTTGTTATATGGAAAGTTGCCACATTCGTGTCCAAATTCGATAAATATCTGCATCCCTGCTTGAAATTTTTGCGGGCTTCTCCTGCAACAATTACTTCGTAGAATTTCAAGGGTTTTTAAGGGTTTATCGCATTTACCTAGAAAGATGCACTTTAGAGCTTCAAACTCGTTGGAGATTTGAACCTTCCGGACTTCCCGGCATTTGGAAATTTCAATGGTAATAAGATCTGGTTTTAGAAGATCGATGGCAAAAGTGTTGTAGAATTCCACATAGGACATATCAATTCCAAGCTTGATATTGTTGGGCATCGATTTTCTTAAGGCCAGGAAATCTTTAGCGATGCGTGGAAGGATTCCAAATTCCTGCATATTCAGTAAATTATATGATGAAGAGGATTGGAAATAATCATTCACGTTTTCAGTAATATGAAGGCCGCTTATGGTGAAAGTTTTTCCAGAGCCTGTTTGGCCAAATGATGCTATCACGGCGTTATTTCCATTGATTACCCTTTAAACAAATTAGTCTCATTCAACTGCGGTTGTTCTTATTTCAGCCATTAAAATTACTTGAACATTTAAATAGAGAAATATTAATTTGGACTCACTCTTCCAAAACTCCCGCTGTGACATCATTATATACGGTTTCTTGAGTCGAGTTGTAAAAAATTCCATCGGTTTCAAACTTCCAGTAACTGCGATCTGTTTTAATGTTGTTTTTAGACAATTCTTGTAAATGGCGAACGTATATTGTACCGGTTTTGCTGTCTAATTTTATGTGCTCAAATTCCGTCTTTTCAGTAGGAAATATTCTGAAAAAAACTCTTTTCTTGAATGACATTTTCCGTGGACTGACTGCAAATTGACAAATTTTGCCTGTTAGCAATATTTAATAATTATCAATAATCACAAATAAATTTAATCACATTTATTTAAATGCTCCATAATACAGTTCCTTATCAGCTAATCATTATTACAAGGAGTTTCTCTTAATATACTAAACTCTTCTAATATTACTTAAAGCAAAAACACTAACAAGAATTAATATAAGTGTTTACTGATAATCTTGTGCAGCGAAAGTTTCAGTTTTTCCAGTCCGTTTATCGCAGTTTATCTAAACTGATGTAAACTTATCCTCAAACCAATAGTGTCTTTCCCTATTTCGGCCACTTGGCAAATATTGCATACCGATCCTTTATATTTGGGCTGATAAGAACTGCCGCAAAGCGGGCACTTTTCCTCGGGTTTTCCGCGATAAATTGGAGTGTATGAGTAGGCGCATAAATTGAAGGGATTGTGCTCATCATACTGGAATTGCAGTTCATCGGTTGGATTAGAATCGCACGCCTGTAAAAAAATAAAAAAATCAGGTGTCTGGCTAAAAACAAAGTAAGCTTGGGTATTAAGCATTAATAAAGTGAAAAAAGACAATTGAGCGCTTGATAGATGAAACACACACCTGTAAGATTTTCCTGGCCTGTTGAGCGACTTCGGGCCTTGGACCTAAATCTAGAAGTCGTTTTGCGAAAGAAGTGGCCGTTTTGTAATTTTTCAGCTTGAAATACATGTTGAGCGCCGTTCTAAGCGTGAGGATCTGATGAACAGGCTGCAGTTTGCTATGCGTAAAATAGGCGGCTAATTCGCATTGTCGCTTCTGCTCCTCTACAGATCCTGGAAATTTGTTGATCATTTAAACAAACTATCCAGCTAAAATTGAAAAATGTGGTTTTTACCTTTAGGCAAAGCTTTCCTCAGTGTTTCCATTTGAAGCCCGCAAATATATTCACTGCATATCCTCAGCATCTGCTGCGCTTCGGCGATATCTTGCTTTGTGTCCACGACTAGCAGAGTAATAAACAACGACAAGTTTTGGAACTTTTCTATTGCTTCCGTAAACTTTCCGCCGGTAGTTAGTTGGTAACAAACCTAATGAAATAAATGAAAATTGTCAGCGTCTGAACTAAAAACCCCTTTTCCAAAACTTACTTGTAATTTAGCCACTAAATCATTCAAGCTGATGCCAATGGCCGGTAGCCCAGTTTTCACGGTGGCATCCTTCCAATTCCTCAAGGGGTAGGTAAATATAGGAGGCAAATTAGCCAGATGATTGGAAACAGTTCTTGAGCTGCTGTAGAGGCTCTGAAACAGGCTGTCGTAGGGCTTGAAGTTGACTACTCCTATTTGATCATGAAGCAGCCGACATGCGGATTCAAAGGAGCCGGCGCGTACATGGTCAGCAGCCAATTGAGAGGCTTTCGTCCAAGAAAGCTTTGGCGATGGTCCTGAAAGGAAAAGTTCCTTTTACGTTCTTCTGATTGGTTGTACCGCACAAAATATACCTTGCGCCGGAAGATGCACATAACTATCAGTAGCTTCTTCGCCTGGGGTTGGTCCTAGTTCGGGAATTTCCAGGTCTGCATCCTCAACATCCCAGCCGGCCTCTCCACTTTCTGATGCCTTCGGATCGTTCGATTTCTCCTCTGCAACAGAGAAAACCAATTAACTGCGATAAAATTGAAAACCGTAAAACTCCCAGTACCTCCATCGATTATTTCATCGTCATCATCATCGCCCCAGCCTTCAGCTTCTTCAATTGCATGGCTAGCGACCGGTTCCACAACCAACTTGCTGGACGTGGTAAGAGATGCAGTGTTTTCAAAGAAGCTCTGGAACATTCACATTTTACCGGAAACGTTCATTGAGGGATAGTAAGTTCTTACTCTGCTAACGGTCAGCAAAGGCCAGTTGCTTTCCGCTTGCTGAATTGGCGGTGGCGGCTTTAAGAACTTGGCATTCGGCTCGACGTCCGGTAATTTCTTCGCGTCTCCAATCGTTTCTTTCAATTGTTCGGCTTCTTCTGCCATTCCATGGGTGGCAGCAGTTAGATAAGCCAAAGACAACTGGTTGGTTGACTTCAGGATTTTAACACGTTCATCCAAATCACCTGCAATGGCAAAACCAAATCAAAAAACGCTCATTGAGCATGGATTAGTTGTAGCGTGCCTAAGAGAAGCGCTCCATGGTACTGCGAGGAGCGCGCCTTTCTAATTTCAGCAATTTTGGTCATTTTTCGCAGTTTATCCAAATTTCCCGTAATCAGGTACAAGAAGGACAGCTTTTCGAAGCTCTTTGTTCGTTGATAGCACATTTCCACTATTTGATGATTCCCCTAGAGCAAATAAAAACATTTAGATAAAAGACGTGCCTTCAAGTTTTAACCTACCTGCCATAACGCGGCCTGGGCCAGTTGATCCCAGCACGTTTTGTCGTTGAGGGCTTTAGCGGCCTCAAGAGCGATGTCGATGTTTCCACACTCCAAAGCCAGAGTGAATCGGGTTTTGTCATCTTTTACAAAATGCAAAGCCACTTCCGGATACCCCTTCTGCTGAAGATAGGATATTATCGACTGACCCACTAGGCGAGATTTTTGAACCATGTTCAGAACCTAAAACTCATTTTCATTAATAATGCCAATCCCAGACACTCTCTAAATTTTCGGCGTACTTCTTCATATCTGTGGTTGATAAGGGCTAGCTTGAATTTACACTCGGTGGTATCGATGTTCATGATTAAGCCTTGACCATCGCGATTCATGCAGTAGAACTGGGAGTCTTTTACTTTTGTTAGATAAATCGGCAGCTCTAAAGTGCGGATTATGCCATGATCCCTGAAAAACAACAATCAGGAAAAGTCTAAGATAAAAACTAGGTAAGATCGGTTGCTTACCCATTGGTCATGGTGTACTTGATGTGATTGCTGGTGGTATAGAAAAATATCCCAGAATCGTCCCAAGTTCCCGATTTAACTCGGGTGTTTTCATGCAGGGAAGACAAAACCTCCAGTTTCCTGTTACAAACTGTGACTGTGTGCTTGGCCAGGAGCGCTATATGGGACATATCGCTGGACCAAACCGCGTAACGACATTTATTAATTTTCACTGCAAAAATCCTCAACTTAAGTCAGTGTTTACCAGCAGAAATGAGCAACCAACCTTGGGCAAGAGTTCGTTTCTGTTGCACATCAAACAAAGTGACTCGCTCAGCATCGCGAAGCAAAAGCATGCCAGTGCCTGCATAGAATATCTCATCGCAGGCAGGAGTTTGCACTTTTTTCGTTACTTCATTTTTCAGATTCTTTATAACCAGTTGATGGCCTCGCTCCAGAACCGCGAACCTTGAATTTAACCCCAATTCTCACCAATAGGAGCAAAAAATCTAATTAAAAATCCAACCTGTTTCGCGCGACCCATAAAGCAGTTAATCCGCTGGATCTTTTGCTCTCTACTTCAGGAACTTGGCCACCAGACTCTTGCTCTTTAGGCAAAACATATAAATCGTATACGCTGTTATCCAGATTCGACGTGCGCGTAAAAAGAAGCACTGCGTTTTCCGCAGGATTAAATGAGATGCCATAAACTCTTGGGCCTCCTTAAAGTGAATAGGAAGATGTTCATATTAATTATTACAGTTATAAATGTAAAGTTTTTTTTTTACATTGGAAATGCATACATTTAACCAGGATATACAGAGTGCGGTCAAGTTGTCTGAAGACTAGATAGAAATTAAACGTCCTAGGATTACTTTTAATAAAATTATCTGAAAAGACGCAAGAGGCAGCGTTGACTGGGATTAAATCACCTAATTTGGAAAATGCATAATGGCAAACTTTAAAAATCATGAATGATCCCGCAACAATTGAAACCATACGCAAAATCATCCCGAGAAGAGAGTTTACCCAATTGCCACTCATTCTTGAGTGGAAAAGATAAACAAATGTTACCTTTGATTTGCAATACTGGTATATCTTTAACAGTAGTAAGATCAAGCCGCCTCAGGTACTTTTCCCTCACGTAGTAAACCAGATTTCCATGAACGGTGTATGCTGGTCGTTCCCTTTCCAGTTTGAAAATCAACATTCCATTATCATGCCCAGCTGCGAAAAGATTGAGGGTGGGATGGGAAGCCATGACCCAAAATCTATCATGTTCTCTGAAGAAACGCAGTCATATGAACAATGATGAACCTTTGCAAAAGTAATTCCAAGCACCTTCTAAAAGTGTGCAGGCAAGTTCTCTTCTGCATGCACCAAACTCTAATGCTCTTGTCTTCGCTGTTGGACAGAATGAGCTCCTGCCGAGGGTGGAACAACACACAAGACACATTGTGATAGTGACCTCTGCAAGTGTCCACTTCCCAAGCTTTCGAATCGTTCATTCGCCACAGTTTAACTTGACGATCATCAGCTCCAGATACTAATACCAAGAATTTGCAGTGCTATTGATAATTTCTCTTGCATGGTAAAACTACGTACCAATTAACGGTAAAGTGTGATGGAAACTAGCCCAATTCACACCCCTATCATGTCCTTCTAAAACATGTTTTACTACGGCATCAGACACCCCAAACAAATCGGTGCTTCCTGGATTCTTTAGATGGTCCTCCAAGCCAGATGGTCCGGGTGCGACATTCTTTTTCCTTAGACCTATTCGAGGAAAAATGAGTAAAAAACGAGTTTGATAAGTTTATATTTCCTTCACCAGAAATGTCCCAGACTCGGACAGTGGAATCCAAGCTGGCAGATACAAGCAAATCGTCACTAGGGTGGAAAAAAGCACACATTACGTAGTGATTGTGCCCAGTTAATACGCAAATGCAAGTGCGACTTTGCCAGTTCCAAATGCGAATTGTTTGATCATCAGAAGCAGATACTATCCAGGGATATTCATGATGGAACATGGTGGTTCTGATGTAGTCCAAATGGCCCAGAAGGGTAAAAATGCAACGTTTTTGCTTGTAATTCCACACCTAGAAGAGAATTTAAGGAGTTTATAGATTGTTGTCACCGATTTGAATGTCCATGGGACACTTGAACAAGTGTTTGAGACTAATCTGGGGTGTTATTCTGACCTTAATTTTGTAGTCATCGCCCCCAGACACAAAAAGGGGCTGTTGATTATGAAAGCATATGCCGCGAACAGGGCCATCATGTTCGTCGAATTTCTCTATAAGGGTGCACATTCGGTAGTCCCAGAGCTGAATGGACCCATTATGAAGACTGGCCAGTACCCAAGGCCTATTTGGGTGGAACGAGAGTCCCTTCACTCTGCCAGACTTGGTTTCCAACTTTGTTAACATTGGATGGCAGTATACAGCACCAAGTAGTTTAAATTAATGATAAATAATATTGTTTTTTGCCACCTAGGCAGTAAATACGTGTTTAGGGAATAGGTGTTTAGAAAACTCAAGTTCTAACCTTAAAAGCTTTTCTACGTGGCTGTCAGTGTCAAGTTGGGCTGGTTCTGCAACGCTGCCAAATCCAATTTTGGAATTGGGAATATGTTTTTTATTTGTATTTAAAGTGTGAAGTGCGTCATGACGCTTCTATATTTTTTTAAATTATTTTTTATTTTATTATGTTAGTACTTTTTGTC